TTAACGGATGTTATTTTCTCAAGCAAACACCTTTCCGAAAACAACTTTACAGTGCTCTGCGTGGTCTAAATAAAGTGTGAAAAACTGCACTTCATTGGAAACAGTAATACGTAAAAATGTCGAAAAGAGGTGATCACAGGGATAGATATCTATTCTCTTGGCATTGAGATGATGATCATCAATTATACTGCACGAGTCATCCATGCTAGGCGCTTACTTTTACATAGATGCACACGTGCAAAATGTTAGTTCCTGCCCGAAAATACAACCACGAATTAAATATATTGCATTGCAAGGTTTTGGCACCAAATATCCAATGTAATATCTGAATGGGCTGCAGATGAAATCAATGGACAAACACGTCAAAGAAATGCCTGCTGGTGAATATGATGTGCCATGAATATCGTTTTTATTCCCGTGGAAACAGGTTAAAATGCGTTCCATCTCTCCATTTCACTCAATGAGCGAACAATGTCCCCGCGTGAACCGGGGCTTTGTTGGAAGTTTCGTTTAGTACTCCTGCTAGGACTGGTACAAGCAGGTTCGGAGAGGTGGGTGGCTCTGAAAAGAGCCTTTGTAATGAATGGTGGAGTCGAGGCTTCACTTGGAGCTTGTGTACTTGGTGACGGCCTTGGTGCCCTCCGACACGGCGTGCTTGGCCAGCTCGCCGGGGAGCAGCAGTCGCACTGCGGTCTGGATCTCCCGAGAAGTGATGGTGGAGCGCTTGTTGTAGTGCGCCAGGCGGGACGCCTCGGAAGCGATGCGCTCGAAGATGTCGTTGACGAACGAGTTCATGATGCTCATTGCCTTGGACGAGATGCCGGTATCGGGGTGCACCTGCTTCATCACCTTGTAGATGTAAATGGCGTAGCTCTCCTTCCTGCGGTGGCGTCGCTTCTTGCCATCCTTGCGCGTAGCCTTGGTCACAGCCTTCTTGGAGCCCTTCTTGGGAGCAGGAACCTTGGCCGGCCCAGCGCTCTTTGATGCGGGAGGATCGGGCATGTCGACGCGTCGTAGGCAGCAGCTTCAGGTCAGAACAGACGGGAAGCGAATGTGGATGTCGCTCGCGCGTTGAGCTCCTTTTATAGGAGGCGAGATGCAAATCAGAGGATCGTAGTGCGCGGCGCTGCTGAGTGGCTCTTTTAGTACCGTCCCTCTCCATCACCTCCAATGAGAAACACGGACGCGATGTTCACTTTAATATCGATTTACTGCCAAAAGGACTGTGAATATAAACACAATGTAATGTCCAAACATGTGTATTAGTGAATTGCAGGCCATGGCATTGCCTTTGTTTAAAAAGGATGACTAGAAACCCAATACAGTATATTGTGTTTTGAGCGTAGGGTTTTTTTGTTTCTTACGAGGGATTGTTTCACCACTCGTCTAATACGGCGCACGGGCGTTTTATGAACGCAATTTGGAAAAATACAAGCGCTCGGTGGAGAAAATAACTTCGCTGTTGTGCTGTACAGGGGAGATTAGCATTCCGGCACGCTCCGTCAATTAGGACGAGTGTGCTGTAAGATTGTGGCGCCAAATGCTCTACGTAATATCGTATTCGGCTGCAGCTGGAAATAATTAACGCACAATACCAGAAATGGGTACTGTATTAAGGCGTTCAAGAATTACGCCTTGTTAAATGTGACGTGAATATCATTTCTTTCATTCATTCATGTGGAAGCAGATGAAGATTCGCCAACTCAACAAGCGAACGTCCAGCACGCTCACAACAACCCAGGACATGTGCTCCATTCAGAGCGTGTTTGGCAACACTGGCGCAAGCAGTTTCGAAGAGGTGGGTGGCTCTGAAAAGAGCCTTTGGGTTGGCTTAGTGTGCGAGAGATGGGCGCTCAGCCTCCGAAGCCGTAGAGAGTGCGGCCCTGGCGCTTGAGGGCGTAGACCACGTCCATGGCGGTGACGGTCTTGCGCTTGGCGTGCTCCGTGTAGGTGACGGCGTCGCGGATGACGTTCTCAAGGAAGACCTTCAGGACGCCGCGGGTCTCCTCGTAGATGAGGCCCGAGATGCGCTTCACACCGCCGCGGCGAGCGAGGCGGCGGATGGCGGGCTTGGTGATGCCCTGGATGTTGTCGCGCAGCACCTTGCGATGGCGTTTTGCGCCTCCCTTGCCGAGCCCCTTACCGCCTTTACCGCGTCCAGACATTGCGACTACTTGTGACAAAGCTCCTCGCGAGAGACTGCGCGCTCAGCTTGCAGCAGCAGCCGCCCTTTATACCCGAAGCGTGGCGACGTCACCGACCACCCCTGCCCTCCGCGATGGCTCCGCCTTAAACCTTCCACCTTTAACCTCTGCGACGAAGAAAACCCTCCACCGTCGTCAATAACACTTCCTTGACATGTATAATATGCGACGTTTTGGGCAATGGCCCTTCTTCGAAGCACTCTGGAATGATATTGGCACACCCGCAGCGAACGCCAGAGGAACGCCATCTGTTGCAAGATTGCACGTGCAGTGAATAATCGGTTGTAAGGTCTTGTTTTCAAGTGAACAAGATGAACTAACTTTATAATCGTGTGAAGCTAACCGCTTCCAACACAATAGTTGAGTGAACGTCACCAACTAGTTCTCCCAAAGTAAGAAAGATATTGCAAACAATGCGATATTTACGTATATAATTAATTTAATAGAGAAGTTTAGATGGTGCACCGCAATGTTTACAAAACAAAACAAAGTGAAAAGGTCGAGAACGAGCGAATGAAGGCAAATTGAGTAAAGCTGTCTGGAATCAATACATTTTTTAGACTAAATTCCATATTGGCACCAGTAGCATGATGACGGAATGAAGAGGTGCAACACATAATCAAAATTGGATGTTCGTCAAGAATGCATCATTTTGAATCTGGATTTAGATTAGAATCGCCAGCGAGAATGCTGACGTCGCTGAGATTACTCTGCACTCAGTTCGAGTGAGGGAGCTGCCACCCGCCTCGCCTGTGTTTGTGATCCCTGCTTTCGGGCTCGATCACTCCCATCACATCAATGCTTAAAACACATCGAGTGGGTGAAATGTTACACAGTTAATTTGAACTAATTGAAGCGCAGCAGCATCTGGTTCACTTTTTTAACGAAGTGGGTGGCTCTGAAAAGAGCCGTTGAGGTGGAGTGAATCGAGCGTCGGTCGTCCCATCGGATTCACTTCTTTGGCGCAGTCTTCTTGGGCTTGGCCGCGGCCTTCTTGGGCTTGGCCACCTTGGGTTTGGCGGCCTTGGCCTTGACGGTCTTGGGCTTAGCGACCTTGGGCTTCGCAGCCTTGGGCTTGGCTGGGCTCTTCGCCGCCTTCTTGGGCTTAACAGCCGACTTCACCTTTTTGGGGCTCTTGGCCGCCTTGGCAGCCGCGGGCTTCTTTGCTTTCTTGGGAGACTTCTTGGGCGCGGTCTTCTTGGCTGCCGCGGGCTTCTTCACCTTCTTGGCTGCCGCGGGCTTTTTAGCTGCGGGCTTTGCCGTTGACGACTTGGGCTTCGCCTTTGCGGCAGCCTTTTCCTTGTTGAGTTTGAAAGAGCCAGACGCGCCGCTGCCCTTCACTTGCGCCACGGCGTCTTTGGCCACGAGCTTCTTGATGGCCAACTTCACGCGGGCATTGTTCTTCTCCACGTCGTATCCTCCGGCAGCAAGCGACTTTTTGAGCGCAGGAAGAGACACGCCGTTCCTCTCCTTGCTGCTGGCCAGAGCCTTGAGGATGAGCTCGGACACGCTGGGGCCGACCTTCTTGGCCTTTGGAGCGGCGCGCTTCTTCTTGGGGCTTTTAGGCGCTGAAGTAGCCGCAGCTGGTGGTTGAGCAGGAGCAGTTTCCGCCATCTCAAGACGTCGCTTTTATCGCCTCGCCTCTTGGAAACTCGAAATCAGCGCTCTCACGAATTCGAACCGAGCGTCCTCCAGGCCCGAGGTTATTATAGAAGCGGCGTACTGAATGCGGACGTCGCTGAGATCATCCAGCACTCAGCTCTAGTGAGGGAGTTGCCTACCATACTCACTGTGTTTATCACGCCTGCCTTTGGGCTCGATTACTCCCGTAACGTTCATACTTACATGCATCTAGTTAATACATCATCACGAAGATCACTTCTTTAATGTACGTTACTTATGCAATATACGACAATGCTCACGATATAAATTATAATTCTAAACAAGTGAACAACCACATTTGGGAGACATTGTTCGGTCAGGGCAAGATATGATGATTGTCGGTTTTCAAAAGTGTTACTGATGAACACTATTTAAAACGCACTCGAATTTTTTGCAAGACAAGATGCTTCAACAGACTACTCATATTTAATTCCAACAAAATATTTTCTATTTAAGTTTTGCCTCGCGCGCTCGCGATTCCTCCTCTCGCGCTATGGTGAGGACTGCGCGCCATGTCTGGTGAGAATAGAGGGGAGTGTGGAGTTCTGGTGAGAATAGAGGGAGCGTGGAGTTCCGGTGAGAATAGAGGGAAGCGTGGAGTTCTGGTGAGAATAGAGGGGAGTGTGGAGTTCTGGTGAGAATAGAGGGGAGTGTGGAATTCCGGTGAGAATAGAGGGGAGTGTGGAGTTCCGGTGAGAATAGAGGGGAGTGTGGAGTTCCGGTGAGTATAGAGGGGGGTGTGGAGTTCCGGTGGGAATAGAGGGAAGTGTGGAGTTCCGGTGGGAATAGAGGGAGTGTGGAGTTCTGGTGGAAATAGAGGGGAGTGTGGAGTTCCGGTGGAATAGAGGGGAGTGTGGAGTTCTGGTGGGAATAGAGGGGAGTGTGGAGTTTCGGTGAGAATAGAGGGGAGTGTGAGAGTTCCGGTGGAATAGAGGGGAGGTGTGGAGTTCTGGTGAGAAATAGAGGGGAGTGTGGAGTTCCGATGAGAATAGAGGGAGTGTGGAGTTCCGGTGAGAATAGAGGGGAGTGTGGAGTTCTGGTGAGAATAGAGGGGAGTGTGGAGTTCCGATGAGAATAGAGGGGAGTGCGGAGTTCCGGTGGGAATAGAGGGGAGCGTGGATTTCTGGTGGAAATAGAGGGGAGTGTGGAGTTCCGGTGGGAATAGAGGGGAGTGTGGAGTTCCGGTGAGAATAGAGGGGAGTGTGGAGTTCCGGGGAATAGAGGGGAGTGTGGAGTTCCGGTGGAATAGAGGGGAGTGTGGAGTTCCGGTGGGAATAGAGGGGAGTGTGGAGTTCCGGTGAGAATAGGGGGAGTGTGGAGTTCCGGGAATAGAGGGGAGTGTGGAGTTCTGGTGAGAATAGAGGGGAGTGTGGAGTTCTGGTGAGAATAGAGGGGAGTGTGGAGTTCGGTGAGAATAGAGGGGAGTGTGGAGTTCGGTGAGAATAGAGGGGAGTGTGGAGTTCGGTGGGAATAGAGGGGAGTGTGGAGTTCCGGTGAGAATAGAGGGGAGTGTGGAGTTCGGTGGAATAGAGGGGAGTGTGGAGTTCGGTGAGAATAGAGGGGAGTGTGGAGTTCCGGTGGGAATAGGGGAGTGTGGAGTTCCGGTGAGAATAGAGGGGAGTGTGGAGTTCTGGTGGGAATAGAGGGGAGTGTGGAGTTCCGGGGAATAGAGGGGAGTGTGGAGTTCGGTGAGAATAGAGGGGAGTGTGGAGTTCTGGTGGAATAGAGGGGAGTGTGGAGTTCCGGTGGAATAGAGGGGAGTGTGGAGTTCCGGTGAGGGAATAGAGGGGAGTGTGGAGTTCCGGTGGGAATAGGGGAGTGTGGAGTTCCGGTGAGAATAGAGGGGAGTGTGGAGTTGGGGGAATAGAGGGGAGTGTGGAGTTCCGGTGGGAATAAGGGGGTGTGGAGTTCCGGTGGGAATAGAGGGGAGTGTGGAGTTCGGTGGGAATAGAGGGGAGTGTGGAGTTCGGTGGAATAGAGGGGAGTGTGGAGTTCGGTGAGAATGGGGAGTGTGGAGTTCTGGTGGGAATAGAGGGGAGTGTGGAGTTCCGGTGGTGAGAATAGAGGGGAGGTGGAGTTCCGGTGGAATAGAGGGGAGTGTGGAGTTCCGGTGAGAATAGAGGGGAGTGTGGAGTTTGGTGGGAATAGAGGGGAGTGTGGAGTTCCGGTGAGAATAGAGGGGAGGTGGAGTTCTGGTGGAATAGAGGGGAGTGTGGAGTTCTGGTGAGAATAGGGGGAGTGTGGAGTTCGGTGGAATAGGGGAGTGTGGAGTTCGGGGAATAGAGGGGAGTGTGGAGTTCCGGTGAGAATAGAGGGGAGTGTGGAGTTTGGTGAGATAGAGGGAGTGTGGAGTTCTGGTGAGAATAGAGGGGAGTGTGGAGTTCCGGTGAGAATAGAGGGGAGTGTGGAGTTCTGGTGAGAATAGAGGGGAGTGTGGAGTTCGGGGAATAGAGGGGAGTGTGGATCGGTGAGAATAGAGGGGAGTGTGGAGTTCCGGTGGAATAGAGGGGAGTGTGGAGTTCCGGTGAGAATAGAGGGGAGTGTGGAGTTCGGTGAGAATAGAGGGGAGTGTGGAGTTCTGGTGAGAATAGAGGGGAGTGTGGAGTTCGGTGAGAATAGAGGGGAGTGTGGAGTTCGGTGAGAATAGAGGGGAGTGTGGAGTTCTGGTGAGAATAGAGGGGAGTGTGGAGTTCTGGTGAGAATAGAGGGGAGTGTGGAGTTCCGGTGAGAATAGAGGGGAGTGTGGAGTTCTGGTGAGAATAGAGGGGAGTGTGGAGTTCCGGTGAGAATAGAGGGGAGTGTGGAGTTCCGGTGAGAATAGAGGGGAGTGTGGAGTTCCGGTGAGAATAGAGGGGAGTGTGGAGTTCTGGTGAGAATAGAGGGGAGTGTGGAGTTCCGGTGAGAATAGAGGGGAGTGTGGAGTTCTGGTGAGAATAGAGGGGAGTGTGGAGTTCTGGTGAGAATAGAGGGGAGTGTGGAGTTCCGGTGAGAATAGAGGGGAGTGTGGAGTTCTGGTGAGAATAGAGGGGAGTGTGGAGTTCCGGTGGAATAGAGGGGAGTGTGGAGTTCCGGTGAGTAGAGGGGAGTGTGGAGTTCTGGTGAGAATAGAGGGGAGTGTGGAGTTTGGTGAGAATAGAGGGGAGTGTGGAGTTCGGTGAGAATAGAGAGGGGAGTGTGGAGTTCCGGTGGGAATAGAGAAGGTGTGGAGTTCCGGTGAGAATAGAGGGGAGTGTGGAGTTCCGGTGAGAATAGAGGGGAGTGTGGAAGTTCTGGTGAGAATAGAGGGAGTGTGGAGTTCTGGTGAGAATAGAGGGGAGTGTGGAGTTCCGGTGGGAATAGGGGGAGTGTGGAGTTCCGGTGAGAATAGAGGGGAGTGTGGAGTTCCGGTGAGAATAGAGGGGAGTGTGGAGTTCTGGTGAGAATAGAGGGGAGTGTGGAGTTCCGATGAGAATAGAGGGGCAGTGTGGAGTTCTGGTGAGAATAGAGGGGAGTGTGGAGTTCTGGTGAGAATAGAGGGGAGTTGTGGAGTTCTGGTGAGAATAGAGGGGAGTGTGGAGTTCCGGTGAGAATAGAGGGGAGTGTGGAGTTCTGGTGAGAATAGAGGGGAGTGTGGAGTTCCGGTGGGAATAGAGGGGAGTGTGGAGTTCCGGTGAGAATAGAGGGGAGTGTGGAGTTCCGGTGAGAATAGAGGGGAGTGTGGAGTTCTGGTGAGAATAGAGGGGAGTGTGGAGTTCGGTGGGAATAGAGGGGAGTGTGGAGTTCCTGTGAGAATAGAGGGGAGTGTGGAGTTTCTGGTGAGAATAGAGGGGCGAGTGTGGAGTTCTGGTGAGAATAGAGGGGGAGTGGATGTGTGGAGTTCCTGGTGAGAATAGAGGGGAGTGTGGAGTTCTGTGAGAATAGAGGGGAGTGTGGGAAGTTCTGTGTGAGAATAGAGGGGAGTGTGGAGTTCTGGTGAGAATAGAGGGGAGTGTGGAGTTCTGGTGAGAATAGAGGGGAGTGTGGAATAGTTCCGGTGGAATAGAGGGGAGTGTGGAGTTCCGGTGGAGAATAGAGGGGAGTGTGGAGTTCCGGTGAGAATAGAGGGGAGGTGTGGAGTTCGGTGGGAATAGAGGGGAGTGTGGAGTTCCGGTGAGATATAGGGGAGTGTCGGAGTTCGGGGAATAGAGGGGAGTGTGGAGTTCCGGTGAGAATAGAGGGGAGTGTGGAGTTCCGGTGGAGGAGGTGGGAATAGAGGGGAGGTGGAGTTCTGGTGAGAATAGAGGGGAGTGTGGAGTTCCGGTGGGAATAGAGGGGAGTGTGGAGTTCCGGTGGGAATAGAGGGGAGTGTGGAGTTCGGTGAGAATAGAGGGGAGTGTGGAGTTCCGGTGGGAATAGAGGGGAGTGTGGAGTTCCGGTGAGAATAGAGGGGAGTGTGGAGTTCCGGTGGGAATAGAGGGGAGTGTGGAGTTCCGGTGAGAATAGAGGGGAGTGTGGAGTTCTGGTGGAATAGAGGGGAGTGTGGAGTTCTGGTGAGAATAGAGGGGAGTGTGGAGTTCCGGTGGGAATAGGGGAGTGTGGAGTTCCGGTTAGAGGGGAGTGTGGAGTTTGGTGAGAATAGAGGGGAGTGTGGAGTTCGGGGGAATAGAGGGGAGTGTGGAGTTCGGTGAGAATAGAGGGGAGTGTGGAGTTCCGGTGGGAATAGAGGGGAGTGTGGAGTTCCGGTGAGAATAGAGGGGAGTGTGGAGTTCTGGTGAGAATAGAGGGGAGCTGTGGAGTTCTGGTGAGAATAGAGGGGAGTGTGGAGTTCCGGTGGGAATAGAGAGGAGTGTGGCGTTCCGGTGGGAATAGAGGGGAGTGTGGAGTTCTGGTGAGAATAGAGGGGAGTGTGGAGTTCTGGTGGGAATAGAGGGAGTGTTAGAATTCCGGTGAGAATAGAGGGGAGTGTGGAGTTCTGGTGAGAATAGAGGGCAGTGTGGAGTTCTGGTGAGAATAGAGGGGAGTGTGG